CTTTATACTTTTATTATTTAAGTAGTTTTTGCAGCACATACTTTTTCACTTTTACTTGAGTAAAGAGGTCAAGTTGATACTTTAACTTTTTTTAATTATTGACATTACGAAGACAAAGAAACACACCAGGCAGTTTAATCCAATCAATTCAGAGTTTTTATATAGGACAAATAGATAGAAATGTACTTTACAGAGTCAATTCCTTCAAATCATACAGAAAAATGGTTAAAAAAAATCTTAAGGTAGCACAGCAGGTTGCATCTAGTTACTGATTTGCTGAAGTTATTCCAGTCCTGACTGAGCATGTAAAGGCAATAAACAGTTGCTTGTATTCTGTTGTTTATTTTGCAGTAATCCTTAATATCCTAACTACAGAAATAGATCTGGATAAGCTATTTGATTGATACACCTTGTACAATGTGACACTTTTAAGCTTACAATTTAAAGTAGAAAGTTTTGTTCCACAGAAATTCAGCCTGAAACTAAAAAACCTATCCCCCAATTTAATTTTAAGTAGCCCAGAGAACAATTAACCTACATTTATGGGAGAAAGTAGTCCATCAGGATCTCTGACATATGTTGGACCTGGATTATTTATATTTTTTATTTATATAAGTAATTGTCATCTTGATCCAAAGGTCCTTTTCACAATTTGCGCTCTGATTTTCATTATGTTTTTTATTAATTTAGCCTCATATATCAGTTATACAAGAAACAAGTGAATACCAGTGTAAAAGGGCATTATACAAGACGGGAGTAGTGGACTGCCACTGTATGGCACCCAGGGAGCAGTGTGGGGTTAAGAGTCTTACTCAGAGACCCAGAGTGCTGGCTGTGGGGATTAAACCAGGTACTTGCATCCTTTTCAGAGTATAAGCACAGTGCTGTAACCAACATCCCCCACGAAATGCAGAACAGTAAAAGGTTGGTATGTCAAAAAGGAGGAAAGAAAATGTTTTAACTGCTTTTTGGTTTTCAAGTTCTTATATTGTGATGTTGTGTTGTTTAAGTTCTATTGGATCATCAATGAAAGTGTACGTCATTGTTTCCCGACCATAGAGCTGACTGGCTAGTGGTTGGATGTTTTTCTAGAATTCTGATCATTTTTGACAGCTACCCTGGCCCAGAGCAGGTTTGTCTATGTCTGTAAAGCTGCCAAAGACATTCAGGGGGACCGGAAACAGACATTTTGCATTTTCTAAAATATCAAAGCGTGTATCACGTACTTTCTATTTAATAATTATGCATTAGATTGTAAATACATAGAATTTGCAATTGCATTGTGACAAAATTGAAGAAAAAGTGATGTGGCAATACCACTTCTTAAAAGAGAGTAAAATAAGATTCATTTTACACTAACTTTACTTCAAAAAGAGTTACTTATTACTTGCATCCTCATTTAAAACTAGAAAACACATCACTTGCAAACTGACATGCTGTTCCATGGCAGTGAAGCAGGAAAGGAGGCATTACATCAGCAGTTTTACACCCTGGAGAATACATTAGCCATGCATTGTTCTGTTCGCAATCCTGCTATCTCTGCAGACCACATAAAGCACCTGACATTGACAGACAGACAGGAGGGAGGCAGATCTAGGATGGAGACAGAAAAAAAAATAAGTATTGGGCGGCTAAGTCTTCATCAATATATATATATATATATATATATATATATATATATATATATATATATATATATATATATATATATATATATATA